CATCAACTGAAAAATCTATTAGTGGATTATTACATAGAAATGGTTTGTTATTGTCTACTAAATATAGTTGGTGTACCGTCCTTATCCGTGTGAATGGATGTCCCAAACATAGTATTTTTTTCCGTGCACGCCGTGATTGCATACATTACTATTCATTCATTTCTTTGATGTTCTAAACCAGTTACACAGAAAAATTTAGAAGCTTAGAATGCTAAGCGATTTACAATCCACCAATCCCGATTAAAAGTTCATCAGTGATTCGAGCCAGTTTAACCTCTCACGATTGGTCGGTTGAAGATTAAATCATTGATTAACTTTTAATCGGTGTTTGTGAAACTGGTTTTGTGTTGATGATTAATTTGTATAGATAGCAAGAAGTTGCTTCGGAATCAGATGTCTTTGGGAGAACAAAAATACTCACTAGAAATTCAATCAGTGATCTCAACAGTGTTTCTAATTCAATTTATGACCTAAATAATGTGTGCTAAATAGTTAAGAAGATTTTAATACTAACGGATGATGATAATTTTTTAACAACATTTTGCCACCATTTTAGATGCTTTTGAGGGAAATAATACATTATTTCTAATTTAATTCACGATCCAAACAAGTAGCCATGCCTAAAAGGATAGAATACTAACGAATGATGACAAATTGGTACAAATAAAAACGTCATACAATTGTAAATGTTGGAAGGGATAAAAGTGATTCTAAATTTCTTAATAATCCAAACAATTTGTGATGTAAAGTTCTAAAGCTGAAAGGGGATGATATAACAAAAATACTTATAACTTATTTAATTAATGATCCAAACAAGTTATGTCGAAATGTTTAGGATGCTAGCATTGATAATGCTAATTGATGATCGTAAAGTTTTCTTAATATTCTCGACTTTCAGCAACTGTAATATTTCGGCAAGGTTGCTACAAATTGTTAGATGCTGTAGGAGGAAGTTGTATTAAATTCCAATTTACTAAAGAAGAGACTATAATAAATAATTGCAACCCTCGAATAAAAAACAAAACACAAATTTAGTTTATACCATAAAAATCTATCATTGCTCGTAACTACCATCAATTTACTGTGAAACGAATTTGTATATACCGTTCTCAAAGTTGGTAATAAATGCGGCTAACGAGGCAACAGTTTATCTTATACGTAATAGCCTTTGGATACACGGAAGTTCAATAAATAATTCAATATTGAAGTTTAATAATAATTATATCAATTATAAAAAAACATTTACATCATTTTAAAAAATAATAAAAACCTTTTTACTACAAAGTAAAAGAGAGAAATTATTATCACTCTGAGATTAATAGCATCTCAAATATTCAATATTTCTGCTTTTAAATTATTTGTATGAAAATACTAAATTTTGAAAATAATGGGAACACTTCTGAAAATGAAATATTGGTGGAACGAGATATAAAAGTGGAATTGGAAAATTATGCATGTATATATGTAACTTTATATATATTATATGTATTTATTTTTTGCAAATAATTATATAAAACACTACTCACATTACATTTCATTTTTTGGTTATCGGTTAAAAAAAGTTGGAGAAGCATTTCACTTTCGCGTCAATATATATATAAATTTCAACGTGCCACATCTTCAAGATCGTGAATATGAAATATAATACATACACGTATATATAATATGAGAAACGAGACCGAACATGCTGAATCACTTAGAGGAATCGTAAAACAAATTTATTACACCTGCCACATGGAAATCATTTCTTTACACTTTTCTCAACATCAAATGCTGTTATAAAATCCTTTTGTAATTGAAAATATTTTTTTTCTACTAAATATTTCTTACATATATATGCAGAGGTACAAATTTGTGTGTACCTGCTTCTATATTATGCAATAATTCTTTTGCATTATTATTATATATATACAGAGAGAAACAGTGAAGTTGAAATTATTGTAAACTGTCAGACATAATTATCGCATGTGTTATTTCACTCAAGTGGTAAAAGTAATTAATTTAAACATTCATTCATAGACTTGTTAATATACCGCACATGACGTTCTGATTTTTCTTTGTTTCAGAGTTATTTCTTTCTTGCGAAAGAGGAATTAATACAAACATAAAAATAGGACAGGATTTTTTTCTTGAATTTCTAAGTTGAAAATAGTGAATATATGAGATTCAAATTTGTGAAAATGGTTCATTTTTATATGGAATTGAAAAAATTATTTGGATTAAGTAAAAATTAATTGATCTAATTATTAAATGATTTTTACTTGCCTGTTATCCGCATTAAATCCGTATTTGAACCAAATGAACATTTACTTGACTTAAATATTTTATTTTTTCGTATCAAGTAGATAGCAATTTGCTTCAAATTTAAATTATTTGAATTAAAAAATTTTATAATTAGAAGAAACAAATTATCCTTTAATTCTCTTCCTGTAATATGTAACAATATCCACAAGGAATTTTTGCAATAACTATAATACATTTTTTACAATAAGAGTTCAAAAAAGTGTCTTTTTGACCAATTCTGCACCAGAAAGTTCCCTTAAACCACATATTAAGAATTATTTAATTCAATAATGTATGTTTTTATTTTAAATAAACATTTGTTTGCAAGAATAAAATATTTTTTTCCAAAGCAATTTTTAATCGGATTTCAAATTCGTAATCAGTGGCTCAAAGAACCCTCGAGTAACAAGTTTGGGGCCGTCCATAAAATCAGTGGCGGATCCAGACAAGGCTTCTGGGGAGGGCCAAGCATTCCAAAAAAGGTTTTGGGGGGGGCATCCATTAAAAAAATGAAATCAATATGGTGTTATCTCTTTCTATCTCATAGGAATACACGACTCTTGGGGGGGGGCAAGCAACCGTGGCCCCCCTGGATCCGCCACTGCCATAAATTACGTAAGACATTTTTTTTGGAAAATTTCACCCCCCCCCTCTCCTCTCGTAATTAGAGACATTTTTTCTTTCAAGTAAATTTTATTAATTTTTAAAAAATTGCTTGCCATATTGGATCCGCCATTTTGAATTTTCAAATTCTGACTTCCGATTCATGATCAGCAACCTGAAGAACTCCTGAGTTAAATATTTCTTATTAATATTCTGGTCTATTGCACTGAAAAAAAAAATTATTTGATTAAAGTATGTAAATTGTCTACTATTATTATTATTATCAAATAAATATTTACCAAAAAATAAAATGAATAGCAAATAATTATAAAATAATTTTTTTAAATCCTCGGTTCAAATACAATATTTTTGATTTAAATAAAAAATTACTTGGTTTAAGTAAATATTTATTTGATAATTGGAAAGCAATCAGTTATTTGAATTAAACAAATTTTTCTCAGTGTATAGTGGGAAATACAAATTTCAAAAAAAGAAGTAAGATTTTAGTTACTCTGCTGTTTAAAGATATAAATATTGATAAAAATAGAATCAACTAAATTAACAATAAATAAAATTAATTTATTTAAATAAATATACCTATTATTTATAGTTTTACTATTTTATAATTTGAAGAATATTAGGGAAACGATTTTTTTGTTTTAAACCAATTTTTTTTTTTTGTAATGAAACATGGTGTCCAACAGTCAGGGAAGCCAGGGAAAAGTCAGGGAATTTTTTTAGTCAGAGAAAAGTCATAGAAAAGTCAGTGAATGTCAGAGAATTTCATTGAAAGTCAGGAAAATTTCTAAAACTTTATACAAAAATTAAAATTTTTTGTGAATAAAATTTTTTTTTATTCTAACAAAACTCAGAAGATTTTTATTATCGTTTGTTTCTATCATTATATATTAATTTATTGTTAAATATGTCAGTTACCATATTTTTGCCCCAAGAAAGCAAAAATAAAATTAGTAAAAAGTCAGGGAATTTTTTTCTCAATCCTTGTTAGATACTCTGTGAAAGCAGTAGGTAGTATAATTTTCCGCGGATCATGTTTCTAATGAAATTGCTTCACAATATATATGTATTTAGAGGTTTTTGGCGACGTTCATTACGAGTATGATGTAATTTAAAAAATTCAAAATGGCGGTTACAATATGGCGAACAAAAAGATGAGAAAGTTAATTTATGCTCTTGAAAATGCCTTATCGGGGGTTCTCAAGGTCGCTGATTACGAATATGAAGTCATATTTGCAAATTCAAAATGGTGGATCCAATATGGCGGACTAACATTTTTAAAATTGCAGCAAAACTCTTGAAAATTACTATATAGGTATTTTTGGGGTTGTTGATTACGAATTTGATGTTCGTTTTCAAATATATTGCACTAATTAAAAATATTTTCACTATATTGAATCTTTCGTGCACTGAGATTAAAAAATATTGTAAGTAATAATTAAATAAAAATATACCACGTTCGCATAAGTGGAAAAAAATATGTCATTTTTTAAAGATTAGGATGAGAGATAAAAATTGAAAATTGAAAGTGTCCATCTTTGAAAAAAGCACTTTTTAAGTTTAATTTTAATGTTTTAGGTATTTCCATTGCATATTCGTTATTTTTGATAAATATGATAAATATTTTTGGGCTTCAAATTTCTCTGAAAACTAGAAGAACACAGGATAATTGAGTCTAATAAAAAACTAAAATATTTTAATTTTTACAGGAGGGAAAATGGTCTCAAAGGATTAACACTCTGAATAGACACAAATTAAACCCCATTTACAGATTTTGCGTTCACTTTTATGAAACCGAAAATCCTCAGGATAACCAGTTGTGCCCGACTGCCTGTAACCTTGTAATAATGAAAATTGACCCAATTAAGATTTATTTATATAGTTCAGGGCTCGGATTGTGCAACTTTTTCGACTTTTTCCGACTTTTTTGTAAAAAATGTAACTAATCAACTTTTTCCAGATTTTTTTTATTAAAATGCGACTTATTTAAATTAAATGCATATCTTTTAAATCCAAATGTAAAAAATACTGGATCCAAATAAAAAAAATATAAAAATAATTCAAAATAAATTGAATGAAATAAATTATTTTTTCAGTGAAATTTTCAGAAAGGCGAATAAAAAAGGAAAAAAATGGACTGGTATATGAATTAAAGTGTCGTGTTCTCTTGAACGATATATAAACTATTTGTGGAATCTTGACCGGAAATTTACTTTTGCGGATATTATGTGGATTTGTAAAGGAGGGGAAATTTATAAAATAGCTTTTATAAAATTGCAAAAGTTGTTGGGATGCCTCATACCCAAAGGATTCGTCATGGTGCTGCTATAATATGCTTTCTCTAAGAGGTGAAAATTCTTAACTTTCTTCAAGCCGCGCGTTGAAATTGTTAGTCGTTGTCGTCGTCATCGTCATCGTCATCATCATCTCCCTATTTTCTTGTATATGTGCAATACTCGATTTCACCTTCTTCACTGCTTATAATATTTATAGTTTTATACATCTTATAAAATATAAAATGCGCACATCATGTGTGAGCAATAAACCAACGCATCAATATATATATATAAACAGCAACATATCTCATCGCGCGACTAATTCGCAGCATGAGTGCGAAACTGATTTACGAACTTGCCAACTGTTGCCGCGCTTTTTCATTCGGCATTCCTGTTTTTTTAATATATCGATGTGAAAATTTATTAATTAGCTCTCTTTAATCATATTTCTTCATGTTTGCATTTTTTTTTTACATTTTTTTACTGGTGGATGTGCTTCTGAAATTTTCTGTGATTTCTCGGTAAAGAAAATAATATCGTTCTTATAATGTAAAATGTATTTTTTGAAAATTTTTTTTTATTTATTTATTTAATGTAGACAAAGCAGTGTTTGATAACTAGAAGAATACTTTCGAGAATATTTTTGAAACGAGTGGAAAATTATTTCCTGAAACTGTGTTTAAATTGTATATTATAACCAACGTCTTGAGGTGTGGCAAGGTCGAACGATGCAGCATAATAATCGAAGCGAATTGTAATAGGAATTATAGTCTAACTTTTTAGGATTATCGAAAGGAAAAGCAAAATCAACTATTAAGTTTCACTTGACCTGGATTGACCTGAAATATTTTTCTCGCAACTTGTACTCTTCAGTGTATATGCAAATTTTTTCTTTTCTTTTTTTTTGATGAAAAGAAAAATTCTCCTTTTCAATTAAGCGAAAAAAAATCTGTATGCTAGAAACAGGCTTCGCACTCGATAATTAATTGTTAAAAAAGCAGCAAAAAGTATCTTTATACTTTAAGACTGAAAAAAGTAATAAAAAAGTAGCTATTGTAAAATTAAATTTGATAACTAAAAAAAACTTGTTTTACACGATTCGCAAAAATTTCATTCTGCATTTTATTTCCCTCATTTTTTTCTAATTTATTAAAAATAATATAGGTAATATTTTTTTTTAAATGAACTTTTAAATAATTCTCAAAAAAAAAGAAAAATGTATCTTTTTGTGTCACAAATTTAAAAAAACAAAACTGTATGCTTAAGAGAGAATTTTCTTATTTATTTACGATGAAACAAAAACCAATATGTAATTGTAATATCAGTGTCATTAAATAAATTATTTACAAATAAATAAGTCTAATTTAGCAAACAGAAAATTGGTCCAAGAAAAATTAAATAAATCTAAAAAAAATAAATAGCTATGAAAGAATTTTTTTTCAAAACTATTATAAAGCAATTTTTTAATTTGTTTTAGTTTACGATTTTATTGATAGAGACATAAAACGGGGATTTTTTTCTGTTCTGAGAGTGTTGTAAGCGCATTTAGAACAAGAAAAAAATGCGTGTCTGTAAGAATAGAATTTACGTGTAATTAAAAAGAATTAATTTCTTGTGTGCGGAAAAAAATTTTTTACAACTCTGCAACCATTGACCCATGTTATTTAACATATCCGCGGAACATGGTTTTTCATTTTTTACTGCATTCTAATCGTAATTACTATTCAATTGTGTAAATGATTACCAAAGTTCTGACATATTAAGAGACATGCATTTTCGATGAATCTTCTTAATTTTCTTCTTATGAATAATAAATTTTTATTTCATCATTGTTTTTATTTGTTATTGTTCGAAAAATTGCCAATTGGTGAAGAAAAATAATTATAATAAATAATAAATAGTAAAAAATAAATAATTTTATTTATAAATAACATTGTTTTATAATCTTTTATCTTTTACAAATTTTTAATACCTTTGATACAAAGAGACTTTTTTTTATTATTATAAGCCCGTTTACACAAGAAAATAAAATTTATAAATAATAATAATCAATAAATAATAAATTATAAAAAGTGTGTAATAAATAATACACCATTAGAAATTACAAATAATAAAAAATAAATAGATAAGGAATAAAAAATAATAAATGAAAGGAAATAATTGAAAATTTAAACAAAAATATGTATGTGGGTAAAAAAAGGAAAATATTTAAATTGTAGTAAAAATGAGAATTTGAAAATAAAATCTAAAGAGAGGCGAGAATTTTATACACCGCAGACAGCGGAGCAATTAATGTGGCAGTAATCTTTGGTGATACGATAATTGTTTACACGCCAACAGTATCCTCGTAATATAACAAAAGATAATTGTTTAGAAAATTATAATACTGTAAATTTATTATTTACATGAGGAAGTTGTGTGCTGGAAAATTTATTATTTAAATAGAAATGCCTTATGCAGGAAATTAATGTACGACTGAATATTCACGACATGACTTTATTACCGTCACACTTTCATCCAGTGGAATCAAATTATTTTTGTGCCAAAGACAAAATAACACCGAATTTTTTACAAATTTTTTAAAATTTTCAGTTTAACAAAAAAAAAAAGGTTAAGAAAAAAAAAGTTGTAGAACATTTACCTAAGAAGTTTAGGATCCTCAGAAAGGATGATAAATTATCAAAAACGAAAACAACTTGTTTCATTTTCCGTTGTTTTTAGAGGAGCAAAAGTTTGAGATGATTTAGAGAAACAAAAATCAATAATACTAATTTAAATTGTAATTCAAAATAATTATGCTGAAAACTAGAAAAGTTTAAAACAATAGGATACAAATAGAATGATGAAAATTTTTTAGATACAACGACAATAACTTGCTGCAGTTTTAAATGCTTTAGGGACCTAAAAATGTTTACTAGAAATTTAATTAATGTTCTAAATAGCGAATGTTAAAAGATGATATTGATGATAATATACAGATGATCACTAATTTGCATCTTTAGATGCTGTTAAAGAATTACTTTTTACTTGCAATTTCAAATAAATAAATAAATTTGCTCCTAAAAGTTTAGAAAATTATGATATTAACGGATGATGATAAATTTGCACCAATAACAACTTGCTACAATTTTAGGAAAACAAAAATACATAGTATTAATTTAAAGGATGATTCAAAGAAATTGTGTCAAAAAGTTAAGAAGATTCTAAAGGATGATGATAAATTTATGCAGAAAACAAAAATTTACTTTAATTTTAGATGAAACAAAAAATCATTGTTTCTAATTCTCAAATTTTGTTGATGATCTGAACAAGAAATGGCTTAAAGTTTAGATGCTTAAGTTACCAAAGGATGATGTCTAATTGGCACAAGAATAAAGATCCTACTAGAATTGTAAATGTTGGAGGGAATAAAAACACTTGTTACTAGTTTGTTTGGTGTTTTTGTGAATGTAAGTTTATTATTTACTATTGTTGGTGCAAACTTATCATCAAACTAGTTACAAGTTTTAATTGATGATGCAAACAATTTGTATTAAAAAAAATAAAAGATTAAGATAGTAAAAAATAATAATAAGTTTGGATAAACAACAATAATTTGCTGCCGTTTTAGTTGCTGTTGTGAATAACATTAAATTAATACACGTAGAAACAATCTGCTAGAATTTTAAATGTTGCAAGGAATAAAAATATTTGTTATACTAATTTAATTGATGATCCAAATAATTTTATGCTGAAAGGTTTGAAACCTGAAAGGGAATGATTAGTGATGCAACAAAAATACTTATTTGATTTAATTGTTGATCCAAACAAATAATGCTTAGAAGCTAGGATACCAACAGATGATGACAATTTGGTACAAAGCAGAAGCAACTTTATACAATTGTAAATGCTGAAGAAAATAAAAATGTTAGTAATTTATTTAATGACTCAAAGAATTCTTGTTGAAAAGGAGTTGTGTTTCAATAAAAGTTGAAAGAAGATGATACAAAAGGATATTACAAAGGGATGATACAACACTTGATGATAAAGTACAAGTACTAATAAAAGTAAGTAAAGTAGATAAAGTATAAGTACCACCACAACTTGGTAAAGAAATAAAAGGAATAAGAAAAAAGAAAAAAGGCAAAGAAAAAGTAAAAGTAGTATATTCGCGCGCACACACCGCTTATGAAATGCAACTTGATACATCTGCATAAAGAGTTTAACTATTACATTATCTCAAATATCGTCATCGAGTGTGTGCGGTATTGTCACAGCTGCTATATAACGTGTTGCCATTCAACTCAAACTATATCTATACAGATTCCAACAAACATGATATCTTTACATCTTTGGCCTGAAAATTTCCTCTCTCGAGAGAGTATAACCTTCCTCCTTTCTTTCTCCTAACGCTTCCTGGTGAACATAAAGGTCAGAGATCGGTTTGCTCGTCCGTTACCGTCAATTGGAGGCGGTTTTATCTCGTGAGATCTTTTCGTTTGTTAAGCTACACTATAAGTATATATGTATGCAGGTTAAACGGATAATTCACGAATCCAAACAATTCTGCATAGCACGTTCCTCTTTTTCTTTCTTCCCTGTCATTCATTTGAGAGATTGATCATTCAAAACATGCCTTGAATTTCTTCCTCCTCCTCTTTCTCTTCCTCTTTCTTCTTTTTTCTTTTACTGAAATGTGTGTGACTCGGAACTGGGAAGTCAAAATGACGAACATGGGGAAAGTGCGCCTATAACCGGTTCGACAACATGTGCTCGTCTTCACATTTTACACACGCGTCCATCTCGTTCCTGGTACTTTTATGACATTTCACTCTTCTTCTAGCTATTAACATCATTATTTAGTTGTATTTTTTTTCTTGTACAGAATTTTATGAAAGTGGTGCGTAATTAAATGATTCTGGAAAAAATAATTCCTTTTGATGTGAGACAAGTATATCCGTGAATAATGTTGTCCTATAATCTGCAATCAATCGTTCTGATTTTTTTCGTTTTTGTACTAATCTAAAGGAAATGAATACTAAATTGCTAAATACTGTAGGAACCGTAGAACACTGCTACTAGTTGAGTTATTACTGTTCTTATGATTCGGTTGTCAAAAAAACTTTTTCTGCATTGTATAAATATAAATTCAATTATTGAATATACATTTTGCATTGTATTCTAAATTCAAAATTTATGGTTCAGAAAAGTTATGGCTTAAAAAATTTATCGAACAGACTGTATCGGATTTAGAATTTGTATTGTTAATATAGCATTCGAAAGAGGCAGACAAGATCAAGTGGAAGATACTATCCAATTTTTTGTGTTAACTACGGATGTAAGTTTCACATCCGGATAGCATCCGAACTTGTAGCACACATCATACAACAATACCGGAAACTCTTCATTGTTAAAAAATAATGGCAATTTTGGAAATAATGCTACAATTTTGGAATCAGTAGGCTATAAGAGTCAACTACTTGACTAATTTGAAGATTTGGATTTCAAAATTCAAAATTCCCCAGGAAAGGTATGGAGATAATTATTACCTCCATACCTTTCCTGAGGAATTTTGAAATCCTTAATTTTTGGTAAAGAAACAAAAATTATTATACAGCTTACAACAGTGCCAAAAAGATTTCATTGTTAATGCCAAAAATAATGGCAATTTAGGAAACAATGCTACAACTTTGAAATCCGTAGAGATGCAACTGTCAAATACTGAACTGATTTGAACAACATTGAGCATTACATAAAATTACCACCATACCTTACCCAAGGAACTTTTAATTTTGAAATATTTTCAATACTTTAAGAAACGAACACTATTCCTAAACGGAAGTAACCTGTCAATAAATTTTCACACCGTTTTCATCAAATTGAATTGAAGAAAGTAAAGCATACAAAAAATCTAAATAGAAACATTGTCTTTCGTATGCTACCTACATTTGTCTCCTTACAACATTCATATGTCTGTAAGAACACATATTTATTCCGTAACAGTCAGAAACATTCTTTCGGAATTTTCATTTCAACTCCAATGTTTATGAAGATTATCAAAAAATGACTTCGTTAATTTTAACTTCGTAAAAATATTTCCTTTGTAAATTGTGTAAATTTATCTCAACAAAAAAAGCAGCAGCAGCAGCAACAATGTTTTCTGGGTCGAAGACTGAATTCTTTGTACGCGCACATAAATTGGCAAGAATTCTCCTTTGTGAAGGAGAACAAAAAAAAAGAACGACTAGTTTCTTTTTAGTATTGGCTAAAATATGTCCCAAGGCCATCAATGAATGTGGGTTCAGCTTCTCAGCGCAGAGGCTATGAGAATAACAGTCATTATAAGTC